TGTTTTTTTGAACTTTTTACTAAGTGAAAGATTGGGTCAAAGGCTACATAATTTTTTTTAAAAAAAATTTTAAAAAAATTTTTTAATAGACAATTGAGTGACAGAAAGAGAAAACCTGTAAGTAAGAATTTAAGTTAACATATCGCAAAAATGATCCTCTGAGAATTATAATCTTACGTAATTGTTCTAGTTGTTTTTGTAATACAACATACTGTAGATCTCGGATTTTAGACATATCTGATATGTATGTACATATGTATTTTTTAACAGTTGACAGTTAAAACTAGAATATGGTAATAAGCACAAGAGACCCAAAAATACAACAAGAGGATAGTTTATTAGCAGTGTTATTCAAAATTCATATATGCATTATAAAATCTGAATTTCCAAATCAAGATTTTGGCTCATTTTTCAGAAGCATTAAAGACCTTGATCCAAGAAAATTGCTTTAACTTTTACAGCATAATAGAAATAAATTTTTTTTTATTTTTTTATTTGTATTAAATATATATTTAATTACAGTATATTATTAACTATAATTATTTTTTTTTAGAATTTTCTTTTGTTTTGCCTTTTTACATGAGCTCTTTTTAGATTACTGACTCTTGCCACTAAGTCATCAATCGGCTTTAAGCAGAATTTGTCATAAAATGCAATTAGACAGTATGGCCAAATATTGTTCCAAAGGTCTACTTGCTTTTTTTCGAGAAGACCTTTTAATAGAAGCTCTTAAGGGTTTAAGCTTTTGAGATTAGTATTTTGCTTTAGCAAATAGAATTCATCCCAGGGATCAGTGGTTCTAACTTTAGTTCTCATTATACCAGGTTCTTCATAGCTAAACTAAAAAATATGATACTTCTGAATAGCTAGAAGTTTACGGTATAATAAGCCAAGTGCCAAAGTTCAATCGTGAAATAGTTCTATTTGATCCTTCAAGTTTACAAAAATATTATTATTTGCACTCCTATCTATTATATCAACTAACTGGTCAATGCACCAGACTTCTGACCTGTTATACTCTCTTTTAATATTACCAAACCCTTAGTCAACAGAATTTCGAGTATGATTCTTAATCTGAAAACAGTATTCTATCTTTTGAAACATTCGGGTATGGCAAGCCCAAAGAAAATACAATAGGAGGCATGAATTTTTATTTTGACCATCACAATTATCAGCCTATAATCTAATTTCATTAGCCTCACCTGCAGAGTTAGGCAAATTTGTAAGTTATACAATATCTTTATGTTTTATAAACTTAATTTAAATTACAAATTACTCAACTCTACTCACCTGCTACAGAAGTTAAAAAAAAATACATCATCGACGTAACTTCATTTTCCCCTTTTGATGCTTTTCTTTCAGTATAAAGAGCATGCCAATGATAGTCAGTACCTTTATCTACTAACCCAAATTGGTGTACTTTCAATAATGATGAATAGTACCACCTTCCCGGTTGTTAAGGGTCATGAGGCAGCTCGATATTTTGGGTAAAATCAAAAGAGAAAATATGGAATAAAGACCTATCACACTCTTTTGCCATTTTAATATCATTTTCATAGGCTTCTCTCATAGCATGATAATCCTAAACATGCACAGCAAACTGTTTATCAAGGTCTTTATTCATATTATTTTCTTTTTTTAATGCATGTTTAAAGAGTGTGCATTCGTTACACATATCTTTAGATGGTTTTCTAATAATAATTTTTCCAAGTTTAATATTCTTTTTTCATATTCTTCTAAAGCTCCAAATACTTAAAAGTTTATCCAGATGCATTAGGTTATAAAAGGTGTGAAGACGATTATATGAATAGTGGGATGGAATAAGAATGAGATCATGCTTTTCATATTGCACACTTATTTGTCCATCTACTCTTTTTTGCACATATTTCTGAACAGCCAATACCTTACCATGCTGTTCTTCGATTAACTTAATGAATGATTTTATCTCATTAACTGTTTCAACAGATAACTTGTTAATAGGTAAATAGTTAGTATTTCTATAAACTCAGGAGAGCATTGACCGTTTTTCTTTAACCCAACTGTAAAGACGATAAAAGGCATCTCTACCATATGACCAAAATGATTGAAAAAAAGAACTACAAACTTCACCGATATATAGCAGTTGATATTTAGAGTGGAATTGTTTATTATGTGATCCTTTATCAGAGGATGCCATGAGTATTGTCATTAAATAATGCCGTTGTTTTTTGTGCATTCTAATACTTTCTAACGCTAAAGATTGCAGCAGATATGGTGAAACTTTATCACTACACTTCTTCTCACACGAGCAACATAATTTAAGCTTATTAACTAATTCATTGCAGCAACTTGAAGTCATTCAAGAACTTCTTCAGATTCATCATCCGTAGTATTCTTATTACTAGATTCCGATTCAGATAAAGAGTTTTCAGTCATTTCCTCATCACCATGCTCTGCTTTTTTATCATCAGATTCCGTTTCTTCATGCTCTGTTATATTAAGGTCTATTAGAAAAGAAATAGAGCTCGAAGTTTTAAAAAAATACACCAAGTCCTCCGGAATTTCCATTGGTAAGTTAATAAGAATTAAAAGATAAATTTTTTTTTAAAAAAAAATTAGGCAGTTTCAGATTTAGGTCATTATACGGTTTATAACACACGAATAAGTATTTAAGTCTTTATATATTTTGGTCAAGATTTATATATTTATTTTTTGAACTCATTTAACTAACTACTTTACTGATTATGTCACTTTATTTAACTTGTTCGTGAGTCAATACTTATGATTCTAGTTAATTAGAATATATAATAATTAGTTCTCAGAATTGTAAATTCTGGCCAATAAGCAAAATGTGTAATTCTCAGACTATATAATTGTGAAACACTTAATTTAGCATTCAGACTATAAGTTCTAGTTATTTAGATATTAAAATTTTTTTCACAATATGGCGAAGACATTCAAGCAAAATTACGTGCACTGGTCGAAATCAAAAATATAAACCAAATATCATCAAGCAATTATCTAATCGATAGCTGGCCGATAGTTTGGTGG